TGTCGTGGCAAACTTACGTTGATGAGCATTTGATGTGCGATGTCGGAGATGGTCAAGGACACCACCTCACCGCCGCTGCAATCGTCGGTCATGACGGTAGCGTTTGGGCTCAGAGCGCCAACTTCCCTCAGGTAATCCGTTTTTGATCATGGTTCATGTTTTGGTTTAGATTCGATCTATCTGTGTGGTAGTGTGTTTACGACTTTTTTTGTTTAGGTTTTGAGGACATTTTTAATATAGATCTTTCTCAATTGGTATCGTTTTTGAAATGAAATTTCACAATAACGTTGATCTTATAACGTGATTGATGTAAATATATAGATCTATACGTTTTGATACCAATGCAAGGAAGTTTTCGTTATAATGAACACTAATCAAGTTTCATGTATACTTTTGTAAACATAAGATTCAAAAATAAGTAATGAATGTATACGTTCGTAATAATACTTTCTTGATGATGATAGTTCAAGGCACAAGAGTTCACTGGTATAATGAAAGATTTCGACGAACCGGGACATTTGGCTCCCACGGGTTTATTCCTAGCAGGAGCTAAATACATGGTGATCCAAGGCGAGCCCGGGGCTGTAATCCGTGGCAAGAAGGTATAACACATTGATTAACTTCATGATATGTTGTTGATACATACAAATATGCAATATGAGATATTGTTAGATACATCATACATGCATGTATCTATTATCAAAGAGCATGTCAATGAAGTTTTTGGTTTGATTTTGGATAGGGAGCGGGAGGGATAACCATAAAGAAAACAGGACAGTCATGCGTGTTTGGGATCTACGAAGAGCCAGTTACACCAGGACAGTGCAACATGGTCGTTGAGAGGTTGGGTGATTATCTGGTCGAACAGGGTCTCTAGGCCCTAGCTACTTCCTCCAACCTTTTGGAATGTTCCGTTCCACCTTCTACATTTTTGTTTAAACTTATATAGTATTGGGCTTTTAAAATTTCTTCTGATAGCAAAAACTTAAGAAAGCTTAAAAGCTAATTAATGGGCTGATACTTCAAAAGGAAAATTGTTTTCCTCTCTTGTTCTTGGTTTCTTACGTAAAAACATTTTTTTTTCTTTTTGTCAACCATGTTTTCTTTTTGCCTGTTTTGGTTATTTTCTCTTGCTTTTTGACAATTGCATTTGTTTTTCTGTCTGTTACATTAATGCATTAGAATTGCAAAATCTGAATGTGTATACAATCGCATATGTATAATTGAATTTCCAGCATACAAAACCACAACAGGCGATTCAGGTTGTAGTTGTAACTTTTTTAATCTCTCAAGAATCAAAACACTTTCAACATTTATGTACGCAGCACTACGTTTCTTCTTATTCCCATATTTTTCAGCAAATAAATAACTTTAGAATATTTTTTCTACAATAAAAAACTGCCAACGCAATATTTTTTGTTAAATTTATAAAGAAAANNAAAAAAAAAAAATGTGGTAACAGTTTAGATGCAGAATTCATTCATCAACTTTAATAAGAAAACAATAATAGTTAAAAAGCTATTGTCGGAAATAATTTGCGTCCAATCTGTCTTATTATGTCTTAACAGCTCATCGAGATATCGAATCTGATTTTGCATTCTTTTTACAAGGAAAATACACTATTTTATATAACGAAACTGTTTCCCAACCTTGCATTCTTCATTTTGTATCATACGATGCACAAATATCTCTTAAGAATATCAATTAATAATTTTTGATAAGTGCCATTTATCGACTGTTGTTTTTCAAAAATACCAATTTTTTCAAAATCTTTGTAAAAATCCAATTTTTTTAAAATTATTTACTCAATATATCATTTATATTTAGGTTAACTATTTTGTATTATGGTTTTGTTTAAAGGTTTAGTTTTGGGTTCACAACCATTTTTATGGTTTAGAATTTTAAGATTTAGGGTTTAAAATTTTTTAATTAGTGGTATTTTTGCAAATAGACAATCTATAGTGACGTTTTTTAAAATGAACACATCAAAAATAGTATGTTTGCAATTACCTCATATAACTTATGTGATTATTTCTCTGTTTTTAATAAGATAAAAAGTGGACTTGAGATACATTTTTATCATTTTTTGGCCTGAGAAACATTTATTGTAAAGGGTGGACATAAATAAAGGAATATTTTGTGTATGGCATACAATGCAAGAGCATATCCACCCTGCAAACAATTATGTCCACTGCCATACTTTGATCTCTTCACTATGAATTTGGAAATTAAAATCCTTAATATTCTTCATCTATGTTTACTTAATTCGTCAGATTAATATTTTTTCAACAATTTTATGATTAGAGATTCAAAGCAAAATAACTTTTCTACCTTTTAAAATATTTTAGTGAAAGTTTAGTCACCCTAATTTTATATGAAATAGTAGTTTGAATATAATTTATTAATTGAATTGTATATCATTTATATTAACTGAGGATACACTAAATAAAAAAAAACATACGTTTCACTCAATGAGTATTTAAGGGAACACATCAATTAAATTAATCAATTAAAATATTCCAATTAATTTTATATGTCATGTTATAAATCTCTACATATTTATATTAACTAGATGACTCCCCGTATTATACGCAGATTAATTTATAAATAAATAAATTATAAAATTATTTCACAGTTAACAATGGCTAATGATGTTGAATTTATATTTTTGGTTCCCTTTTCGTCTTCAAACGTTTCTTCGATTTTTAAAGTTTTGTTGTGAATAATAGTATCTAGAATAAAACATATAGCGATTGTGGTTATTTTTTGTTATTTTGTTACGATTTTGATTTTCTTGAGTATTTCTAATACATGTACACTATATATACAATAACAATTGAGAAATGCCCTTTGTATTTTGTAAACATTTATCTTTATGTTAATTAGATGTGAAAATGTAATTTTTTTTTTTTAATATGAAAATGTAATATAAAAACGAGTTTTTTTTAGATAGTACGTTTAATCCTTTTATATATTTAAATTTTATGGTCAATGTATGGTCTTGTATTTTGTAAACATTTAGTTTATGTTAATTAGATGTGAAAACGTAATTAAATCTTTTTAATATGAAAATACAATATCAAAACAATTTTTATAGATATTTGTTTATTTTAAATAAATGTTAATGTTGATTCAAATATATGAGAAATTTCAAAAAATGCCACTTTTCAAGTGCCACTTTACAAAAATACCACATTTTTGAAATCTTTACAAAAATACCACTTTTTCAAAATTATTTTTTTTTATATTATTTATGTTTGGGTTAATTATGTTCTA